TGACCATATAAAGATCAGAAAGCAGAGATAAGTTTCCCAAGCCAAATATTTTTGAAAGACTAGCCAAACAAAGGCAGGAGCTAAAAAAATAAGATGAGTTTCATGCAGTGGCTAAAAACCATACATGTCTCACAAATTCCTGATTTCACATCTTTTATCTACCAACACTCCAATTAGCAACAAAAAAGCCATTTGTAATCAAATGACACTGCTATTAAATGACTTAATTACTGTGTATGCTTCTGCATAGCCACTTCTTTACCCCTACTAGCCCCCCAAAATATTTCTATACTACACCATATTGCAAATATTTACCAGTTGCCATTTCTCAATTATTAAGTAGTCTACCAGTGAACTAGCACCATATCCAGGTGATCACTGAAAGAACATCCTATCAGCATCATGGTCTGCCCCCATCCTTCTATACTACCTCATTACAATTATTTTCCCAGTTGGAGAGAAGAGGAAAACTGTTCAAAAGCATAATGAAAAAGGCACTACGTGATATTGATTTCAGCAAGGTAGAAAGGAGCCAATGAGTTGGGAGGTGAGACAGAGCAAGAAAACTCTCTGCCTTGCAGCTCCATCTTTACAGATTCTTGTTATGCCGCAGCTGAGCCACAATTTTAGCAGAAGAGCTCCTAAATAGCTGCATTATCAGGAATACACAAGGGCACATATAAAGAGGCCCTTAGTCCCAAGACACATATATTTAAAACACGTGGATAATAAAAATGTTGCAGCAGAAGATGTGTACATTCTCAAGGACTATATAAATCTTCAAAAGATACATGAACATGTATGAGAGATTATGGAGATAATACGTAATTAGGAATCCTGCCCTGAAAACAATCTTATAGATATTTTTTTGCATGCATATGCTAATACAAGACACAATATAATTACGAGCTTCTTTCCTCAGATCCAATTTTCAAAATGGGAATAAAAATAGCAGGTTTTTGTCTTAACACTGTAATTTCTATGATATAAACTTTGGGTAGGGATGAGCTATGCCTTTTGAGTGTCTTGATTGGATTAATATAGTCCTTAAACCAGTGCTTATCAAATCACTAAGTCAAAAAGAATTACTTTAAGCTGTGAATATAATTTCTTTGACACTTAGTCCTGACAATGTTGCTTCATCTTCAGAAATGGATGAATCAAATTGTTTTTTGCAATGATTAGCTATTAGTTCACCTTCACCAGTATTATCTATTCTAACTGGCAGAAGCTCTCTAGAATCCCCTGACTGCTTCCTGAGATCAATTATCTTGTCTATATGAGATGAAAGTTATGATCATATTCATGAGCAGATTATAGTCATGTTCCAACCCTATTCACATTTTGCAATGACCCACTTAAATCAATGAAACTTAAGTCATAAAATAGGTTAGGCAAGAGGAACCCTGATATTTGCTGAACTGAAGTTTTCAACAACTCCAGCATTGTTGAAGAAGTTCAGGTTTGGAATGCTGAGATTTGTAGCACCTACAGGATAATAATTCTCCATATTTATCTAATGGTAAAAAGGTAAAGATATGTGAATATGACAATGGAAGACCTGGCAAAGAGCTGCTATCTAGAGAACAATCTGATAAGAGACAGCATAGCCCACAACTGCAAAGTGGGCAAAGCAAGCAGTTCAAATTAGTTGATTGCAAAAGTGATGGAAGGAGAAATGCAAGACTTGCAAGATTCTGTTAATGTAGTTTTACACTAAAGTAGAATTAGATTAGATTTTCATATATGGTCTGTCTGGTAAGGTTGACAAGGTTTCCTGAAGCTGAGCAGAAATCCCTGTGACTACCTGTACAAGCACATAATTTCCTTGGCCACAATATGAAAGTGGTTTGCTATTGCAATCCTCTACAATCTTTTTAGCTTAACCTAGCATGCTAGGCTTTCCTAATGGTTTGTCCTTAAAGAGCTAACAATGCTTGACTCTACTTAGCTTCCAAACTAGGCAATGTCAATAAAAACAGTCTATGGTATCAGTTGTATACCTTGCCCAATTCTTAGCAATCAAGAGTTGGGAATGGGCAGTGAACAGTCCAATTACAGGTACTTTGACATATGATCAGTTATTTAACAACTATTTGTAGTTACAATGGCCTTGGAAAAAGATGCAGAAATGAAGATGAATCATGAAGATCTAAGGTCCCTTTCAGCATTCCATCAGAAGAGTTTTCTTCCATGCACAAAGGAGAATTCACAACCTTCTGCAAGATGCAAAAACAATGATTAGGTCTTCATGATTTAAGCTTTGTTTCAGCACCCTGTGGAATGATATAAGCTCTTCCATGCATTAAAGGAAGTTGATCTGGTGGGATGCAGAAATGGAGCTTAGATCGTGATGATTTAAATTTCATATCTGCATCCTACCAAAGGAGTTCCCTTCTGTGCATCTAGGAGAGATGATTTCCTTCTAAGGGATGCAGCAGCAAAGCTTAGAACTTCATGATATAAGCTTTCTCAACAAGGAAATTTCTTTCTATGCATGAAAGGATGCTGAACTCCTTCTGTGGGGTGTGGAAATGTATCTTAAGTTCATGCTCTCCACTCCACCATGCCTGGGAAGCCTCCAAAAAATGGTGCTCACTTACAGAAGGGTACAAGGTGGCTTCTATAAGAAGGCCATGCCTTGCACTGGCTGTGTGCAAAAGTTAAGGGGAGCAATGTAAACGCTCTGCTGTGTCCTGAAGCCAATTGATGCTCCTGGGGCACAGCAGTTTTGCATCTGTTGGTGCGCCCTGTAACCAGCCAGGGTTTCCTGGGTCTGGGGGACCAGAGAGAGGCTGAAGCCTCCAGGGACTTCACCTGACACTCTGCTTAATGACCACATAATCACTTAACAACTGCAACTGGCAAAGCCAGGATTTCAGTTATTGAATGAAGCAATCATGCCGGCATCTCATTTAACAACCAGAGCATTTAACGACCAACATTATGGTCCCAATTGTGGTCATAAGTTGAGGACTATCTTTGTATTAAGTCACACCATCAGTTTATGTAAATAAGAGCAGCAATAAACACACATTAGGAAGGGGAGGGAGAGAGAGAGAGAGAATTCCTCTACACTATACTCAGGTTACAGAAGGCTGATTTTAACCTTATGAAGTATTTGTATTTCCTTAATGACAAATCGCATAACAGATCACAATGCATTATTTATTTTCACTGTTTCCTATCATTCATACTATAGGTTGTTTAGAATCATAGAACTTAGTAAATGCTATGTTATGTATTTGCAACAAAAGAAGTAATTTAATTGCCATTTTTAAAATGCTTTACAGTATACTCAATGGAAGTTGAATTAATCCAAAGAAATACTAAGTAGAGAAAATTAACACAGAGCAAGGATGCACTGTTAATATGCTAATGGTAGCTGAGCTACATGGTAGGAATAAAAGGATTAAAATATGAAGGTATAATTCTCAATATTCTTAATTACAAATTCAGCTGTATGTTACTATTAGTGACAGTTCAAGGTTAATGAATAAACTTTACAGGGAAACAGAAAAAATAATCATCAAATCAAATTCATGGTGCCTTCATATGAACATGAATATATACTCAAACTTGACACATAAAAATCTTTCTCAGATAATTTGGTTCCTCATTTCACAGGAACACAGTATTTTAATTAGTAATTGAATTTAGCTGAAATACCCACTTAAAAAGAAATTGTAATTGATTTTATATGCTCAGATCAGCAAACAAAACCAAATCCCATTATTATATTTAATAGTTAGTAGAAAAGTTAAAAGCATGCTCACTCAATTCTTAAAGAATACATACTATATTTGCAATAAGTCCATAAGAAACACTTGATTTTTTTTAGTTGTCACTTTGTTTATAAAGGGTGTTAATAGCTCCTTTGGGCTGTTTTCTTGCCATTCTATTCAGAGAATGATTACATAGCTTCAGACCCAGAGACATTGTCCCAGTGCCTAAAGATTATTATCCTGCCCCTACTGTTTCACATCTGCATGTAGCTATTGGATTAAATCATTTATCAACATGCAATCAAGTATTGTCAAGATGCTGCTGATACCCAGGTGTATATTTCAATCCAAGGTGAGTTATATTGTCAAGGACTTGCCCCATGCTGTTGGAGTTTGACTGGGACTTAAACTCAGTTCTGCCAAATGTTCTGGATTCTCCCAGACATTTCCATTTTAAGCTCTGAATAGTACAGCACTTCCCAAGATAGAACTGGTGCATAATGTAGGAAATATCCTGGATTTACAGCTCCTGCTGCCATAGCAGGTGGCAGCTGTGGCCAATGGTGTCTTTGCCAGATTTGTCTGTTATGTTAATTGTGCTCTTTCTTTTCCTGGAATAGGAATCCCTTTTCATGCTGATTCATGCTTTAATCACCTCATGTATGGACTATTGCAATGTGTTGTACAGTTACATGGACTACCTCAGACGGCCATTCAGAGGTTGCATCTAATCCATACCTAGGTATACCCATGTAAAAATCTGCTGCATGAACTGTATTGGTTACCACTAAGCTTTCAATGGGTGCATTTAGTGGATGCTAGTTGTGTCCTTTAAAGCCCTTCATGGCATACAGCCTGACTATCTGATGGACTGCCTTTCTCCCATGATTTCTACCAATCTGGCATACTCCAGGTATCATTTTTAAAGCAGTGCTTTTGTGATGGGACTCAGTGGCATGTCTTCTCTTTCTTGGTGCCTGCCCTCTGGAATAGTTTCCCCAATATACTATCCTTTAAAAAGGCCTTGAAGACCTGGCAGCAGGTAGAAAATTACGTCCTGCTGTCAGTAATTTAACTGAATTATTTGGTATTGTATTCCCTGGTTATAGTTTTTTTTTATCGGTGCACTCCACAAAGTTGGGGCAACCTAAGTGTTTGGTGTGTAAATATTTACATAATACCATATTCTAATTTTTAACCTAAGTAACATGGATAAACATGGATGAAACAGTGGATTAAGCTGAGGACAAAAAAAATAAAATAAAAAAGGATTACCTCAAAGCAACCGTCTTTCCATTCCTGTGTGTGCACATCACCTGCCGGGTCTGATATCCGATTTGTATGTTCCAATATTTATTCTCCTGTCTGTTCTGCCTGTTATGATTCCTTTTCTTCTTAATCAGTTCCCGGGTTTCTGGATCCCGAATGTTTTTCTCCTTGTCCTTCTCCTTGTTCTTTCCACGTTTCCTTGCCTGTCTGACATGCCGCAAGTGAGGAATTGAACAGGTACTCCAGGATCCCACGCTCAGACTGTACAGGTTTTCTTCAGTGGCGCAGGGGGATGAGCTGCAAGCCTGAAACTCTGTCAGGTTGGGGCAGGCAGAGCCTCCATACCGAGGGGGAGCTACAATATGACGAAAACGGTAGGAGAGCCCTTTGCCACAGCTCTTAGAGCACTCTGTCCAAGCTGAGAAATCAGATACAATGCAGTCCTGCTGGCAAGGAATGAGGCAACCCTGTTCTAGCTGAGGCTTTGGCTCAAAGTATTCACATATGGCGTCCTCAACTACCACACCATTTGATTTTTGGACACAAATAATATCTCTCCTCTGAATTCCTTCTTCCCCATTCAAACATATTGTTGTTTTCTCAATGCTTTTTGAAAGAATTGGCTGACACTGGTTCCAGCTGCCCAGCTGCCAGTCATACAGTTCTTTGTGCCAGTCGCAAACTCTGAAGCAATTCTGTTGGTTGTCAGGTCTCTCTGCCTGCTTGCAATTTGTGAAGAGGGTGGTCCATCCTTCCACATGAGCACACCATATAGCTCGAGTCTGAGTGCCTCCGGGGCCACATTCATCTCCCATGCACCTGCCCCACGGACCTGGAAAAAAATGGAAGAAGAAAGGGAGACTGACAACTTATACCCAATAACTGAGACCTAGAAAAATCAAGCTCAAAAGAATAACCTTTCCAGAATCTGCATCTTGCTTAAGATTACTTGCATCTTATATTGTACAGTGAAAAAATTATTATAAGAATGTAGTCTGCTCCATCTGTTTCCTCCCCCCTTATATATATTAAGAAAGTGTTTAGCTGGTTTTTTCCCTTTAAAGTTGAAATGAATGATGTATTTTAGGAATCAACAACCTTTTCTATTGACGGGGATCAATAATGAATTTGTGTATAAAGTTATGGGTACCAAACAAATATAAATGACTTTATATATGTGCATATAAAATACACACACTCAGTCTAGGTTTTATCATGTATTGTATGGTGTTAAATTTTGTTGAGCATTTATGCAAGAACACAGAGATTTTATAAATTTCAAGAATCATATGAGAATTTTAGTTATTATTATTGCGGTCATTATTATTATTGTTATTTTGGAAGTTAGTGGGTTCTATCTAGTGGTCTGCAGAAAGTATACATTTATCTTCAACATTAATACATCATAACTGGTGCATATTTTAAGGCAAACGTGGAATACAGATATTAAGAAACAGAAGATTCAGTTATCATGTTAATTGCCAGAGGTTTAAAAGCACATAGTAGCTACTGAAGAAAAAGACTGAGTGCAGATTAAACTAGAATTAAGGTTTTCAATATTTAGCTAGATACTCAGCAAAATCAATATATGCTTTGTATATAAATTCATTTCAGGAAATTACCCTAATTTATCTCAAACTGAGTTTCTACAAACAGTGTGATCTGTTTATTCCATTTTGTGCATATTTATGTACAAAAGTCCTAAAAGAAAGAGTGATTTCCTATAGAATTTTACTGAACAGCACTACACAAATTTATAAGAAAAATAATTGTACTACAAAAATCTTCCATGCTATAAACCTCTGTCTTAGCACATTTTTACATCTTTTGTACATTTTAACCAAGTCTTCATTAACAGATGGAACTGCTCCAGGTCTACTCTAGAAGATAAGCTGTAGCTTTTGTTAATCAAAATTTTCAGGTAACGCAACCCATACTCAAAAGAGAGTTCAAACAGTTGTCAATGGATTAAATCATGCCAGCCCACAAACTGGATCTGGGTAAACAAATAAACTGACATTATCATGCCATGTTAACAGCGAGAAAGAAGATATACTTTCCAATGCTGAGCTGCAAAAGGTGATAAATAGTTTTAGCAACAGCTCTGATGGCACCTCAGGCATATAATAGGTATAAAAGGTCCATAAAACATACTACAAATGCAGCATGCTCTGAGGCTAGATGAGATTTTGATAGAGTATTTTATAACCAAGTCTTTTAAGGTGTGGCTGAGCAGAAGATTGTAAAAAGGAATTAGTAAAAGGAACAGGGAAGCAACAGGAGGAATTAGAATTCAGGAGAAGAGAAGTAGTATGCTGGTAAGAAATGATGAATCCTGGTTTAAATCTTCAATATCTCAAGATTAAAATGGGAAAATAGTCACATTTGAATTTATATAATTAAACATTTTCCTACATGTTTGGAATGATAATTACCAGAATTCTATGTGAGTTGGCTAGTACTGAACATTCTGAATAGCACATTACTCAAGAGGGCAGGTTTTAAAAAGAAATGGCATATCTTCCAGGTCCCTTCAGATGGTATTGCTTAAAACATGGGAACTGGAGCATGCCATACTAAAACCGTTTCTCAGTTGGGAATAAACAGTGGAGAAAGACCATCCCTCAAAACAGCTAGGCCCTATACAATGAAGAGTTTTGCAAGTAAAATCAGCACTTTGACCAAGACAGGTAGATGTTCTTATTTAATGGTATTGTTGCAGGATGTAAGCTGTTCCAAGCAAAGCTGTATTTTGTAATTGATGTGTTGATTTTGTCAATGCCATTTTGCTAAGTGGTGTGCCAGTTGTTTTGAATTCCAGGTGCCTATTATTTCCTCTCTCTCTTTTTAACTTGAAGTGGCAAACGTATCTAATATTTCCCCCTCGTATTTTACCCATAACAGTGAGATGGGTTGGGATAAGAATACTGGCCCAAAGACACTCAGCTGGCTTTAGGCTTAAGGAAAGATTAGAACATACAATTTTGCTGGCTCCCATATCACTAAAAATAATCCCTACTATGTTATTTTACAAGTTTGGTCAGATTTGTTCTTTGTCCTTTTCTATTCTAGGTGTCTCCTTGATTGCTTCATCTCCTAGAACTCCTCATAAAATCAGAGAGTCTCAGGATCAATAAATAGGGCCACACAAAAGTAACATGCAGGAATGAGCAAAGATGTCACCAGTAAATAAGCTAACTGATCCCTAGAGATAGTTTCAGCCACAAAGCCTCCATCTGGTTATCTTTGTCATAGTGCCTCTCCAAGCTATTGGGATTTTTTGGGTAACAACTACTACTTTGTCCCTCCTCACCCTCCACTGCCCTGGGATTGCAGTCAATGCCACATTTAAAACCCATCCCATTTTTCTCAAAAAAGATCCCCTCCTCCAACTGAACCAGATTCTGATTATTCATGCCAGATTGGTGACCTCATCCACAGTAAGACTCTAGATGAGAGGAGCTTTATTAAACTGATCTGATGTGATAATAGGATCAACAGCTGCCTGTTCCAAGTATACTACAACTCTTTTTAATGTCTCCATTCTATATATTTTCTTGCAATTCACTCATTATTTCATCTGGTCTTTCAGCTGATGAAACCTTCATCTCCATCTGAATATTTTTATAAACGGAATGCATGGAGATTAAAATAGATATAAACTATAGTTTTTTGGACTTAAAAAAATCACTGAGTCCTATGAATTAATGTTGTCTGGATAGTGAGAATATAGATTTCAGATCTAATTTCCATGAAGTCAGCATAAATATAATTTTACCTATTTGCTCTAAATGGGAAAAAATTATTTAGAAATACTAGTATTTTGTAGGCTTCTAGGTAAGCAAGTACTGTGGATAAACTGTATAATGCTTTCTACATGGAAATAAAGAGATAAAGAGGATTTGACAGATTATGAATTAACCTCAGATTTAAGAATAACTCAAAAATAATATTTCTGAAACGCTTTCTATTTTAATCACAAGCAAAGACAATGCCATTGTTTACCAGTTGCAATGCCATTGTTTACAGTTTGAATACTCTTAATAATTTCAAACAATTTCATTGATATGGAACACTTACTATCAACTCAGGTTTTGAGGACCTTCTCATAAAGCAGAGGTCCCCAACCTTTTGGGAATCATGGACCGGTTACATGGTGAGAGGTTTTTCTGCGGACCGGAGGGGGCGTGGTTTTGTGTGCTGTCTGACTCCTAAGGATGGAGCTTTGCTTGTTTGGGCGGCCCACTTGCTGTGGCCCGGTACCAGTCCATGGACTGGGGGTTGGTGATCCGTCATAAAGAGATTGAATTAGGCACTACAGCTCATGTACCTGTCTCTAGATCAGGGGTGTCAAACTGCCGCCCCGCAGGCCGGACACATCACGTGGAAGCCGCGCCCATCCCATTGCTGGCAATGGCCCGATACGTTGTGTGATGTCACATGACATCGCGAGTTTGACATGCCTGCTCTAGATAGAATTTGATAAGAGTAGGGTTGTTGGATGGCTATATGATGGTTAAATGAACAGGTTGATGTTGCAACCAAATTCAAGTGCAACAAAATCATGGTAAATTGGGCCAGAAAAAGCCATCCGTAGAGAACCTACAAGATATTGGATTACAATGTTCTGACAGCTATGTGGATTCTCTGAAGAAATAAGCCCATACAGATTGACAGAGAAAAGGGCTGGGAGGAGAACAAAGTTAGATTGAATAACTCAGACAGCAGTGTGGAAATGATTTATTGCTTAACATGTAGGAGAAGATTGGATCGCCTGGAGGCAGGACAAGAAGCAACGGGTGGAAACTAATCAAGGAGAGAAGCAATCTAGAACTAAGGAGAAACTTCCTGACAGTGAGAACAATTAACCAGTGGAACAACCTGCCTCCAGAAGCGGTGAATGCTCCAACACTGGAAGTTTTTAAGAAGAGACTGGACAGCCATTTGTCCGAAATGGTATAGGGTTTCCT